TTCACATCACCACTAGCCGCCCCCTTAGCGGGCTGAAAGAAATTTGTTAGAATTAGATATATGTATGTACATATGTATATATTTAAAATGATAAGTCGAATGGGTTACCGAATTTAGTCTGGCAGGGGTAACTAACTTACGGTTAAGATAGAACTTCTACAAAAGAAAGACTTAAGTTACACCAGGCGACAAATGAAAGTGCAATATTCACAATTTTTTCCACGAAAAATTTTTTTTTCCATTATTTATGCAAATATAGTTCGGTCTATAATTTAAACCATATAAATCAAGGTTTCACACTAGGGATGTCGGAAAAACATCGATGCATCGAAAATATCGGATGTTTTGCTTCGATGCATCGAAAATTTTTCACTCGATGTATAAATAGTCGATGTATCGATGCATCGATGTTTTTTGAAAACTGACATCTACGGTACATTGAACCGTCATTCCAGTTTTTCAATTGTTCAAAAAAAAGAAGTGACTTCGGCCAAAAAATTTAAATGGCTGCAAGAAGTTCCGTTAGAAACATAATTATTAGCTCAGTTGCAGTAATTTATTTCAAATTTTCTACAATTTTGCTAATAACATATTTTGTTGTGAAACATTATCTGAAAAATCCTATGCAAATCGATGCATCGATGTATGCCCTTCGATGCATCGAAAAATATCGATGTACATTTCGATTGATCGAATCAAGGAAAAACATCGATGTATTTTTGTCACTGTCATCCCTATTTCACACCCTATATAAAGTTCACGAAAATTCCAAATTTCATTAAATTTTTCAACTTTTTATTCAGAATTTCTAAGAAATTTTCGAGTATGTATTTTGTAGACCATTTAATTTTAGTCGAATGAAGTGCAAGTTTCAACCGGCTAGAAAATCGCGTACAAATATGCATACTCAAACAAAAAATCTAAAAAAAGTTTAGAAAATTTGTAAATTCGTAATGCACTCATTTTTCTCAACTTCGGTGTAAAAAAAATGCATAACTCAAATTATTGTAGAGTGTACCCCATAATACTATACTTAAATGTTGCGTATTTGCATTGTGATTTTTTTAATTTTTTTTTTTGTGATGCCATATTTTCAAAAACTATTTTTTTATCAAAAAATTTGTGTTAAAAGTTTTTCAAGAAAAAAAAAAAAATTCTTTTTATAGAGAATATTGATGTGTGTATGTGTTATTTTTTCAAATTATTTCCTCGCCCCGTTCTAGAGATATTTGGAAAATTATTAAATCGATTTGTTTTTGTGCTCTAAAGTTTCTAAAAAAGTTTTAATCAAGCTCAAATTTTATATTTATTTATTATTTATGTTTATCCTTCAACCCTAAAACTTTAAAACAAATCAGACACATGAACCCAGACACATGAATCTTAAAATTAAATATTACATGAAAATACTAACCTGAGCATGAATCTCTGTCATCATTTTAGCGCGCTGAGAATAATCATCATAACGTTCAAGTAGCAATTTGCCAGCTTCTTCGTTTAGCGCAGATTCCGCATTGGGTACAATAAGAAGGCATTTAATGGTTAGCAATATATGTTTAATACCGAGATCTGGTTTCCAATCCTTCTTTAATGTGTTAACGCAAATTTCACCATTGGCCGCCACATTTGGGTGGAAGATTTTTGTTAGGAAAAAGGCTTTGGGCGGTGATTGCGGAAAATCTTTTCCGAGTGTTAGCTTGACACGAAAAACTCCACCAGCATATGGCGTGCCAGCTGCAATTAAATTATAAATTTAGTCTATACGTACCTATGTATGTACATATATAAAAATTAACTACATATAAATTTATACGCATTTCTATAAAGCCCAGCAAAATGTGTGCAATATAAGTGTGTAGATAAATATCATATGTAAATGTTAGCAAATTTAAATACTGCAAGCGCAGCACTAGAGCATTATTTTGGCAAGGCCGCACAATTTGTGTCTCAAGGGCAAGTGGCATTGATTTTTCTTATTGGTCACGTTTACTTCAAATTTTAAGTAATTGCAGTGGTCGGGGGTCACCACAAATTGCGTATCTATTTAAGTACTATATACATATGCACTCGTACGCACCTGGACCCTCGATAAGTGCTTGAATGTCAGTTACATCAGCGTCATTTATTTGTATTTTTATGCCTTCCAATGGTGTTTCACTGATCTGCTGCATTTCCTTCATTACTTGACGAATGGTTTGTGGCGACAAATTTTCCACATTTGATATCTGCACAAGCACATGAAAAATTAAGCAAACATGAAATGTATACAAGAGTGTTTTTTTTTAATATGATAACCAACGTAAACAGCTGCATGTTATGTGGGATGCAGTACACTTACCGAGCTCATGGCTATGACTTTCGATTTTTGCTGGCTGCTATTGCTGTAATGTTAGTGGCTGATGATGCTGTCAATGCTCTTACTTTCCACTTGCCTTTGTTTTGCTCCTGTGTTTTATTTGTTGATTCGTCTTGTGCAACACGGCTAGTTACAAATTTTCTATGATGATATACAGTATGTGCTCCCTTCACCTTGGTCGCACACGGAGACAGCTTGCTGCACCCTCAACCACTCACTCGTTTTTAATACAAAGCGAACCTGCGCCGTGTTAAAAGCGTCACTTTTCGTCTGTCCGTCTTTGGAAATGGGCAATTGGAAAATGTATGTGTACTTTTTTAGTTTTCCTTCAATTTTCCGCCACTGCGCCTAGCTCTGCGATGGCGTCGATTTGTTTGTAATATTTCACTTACTTTTTTCAACGACCTTTGTGCAAGTTCAAACTATTGTGGGTTTACACGTTTTTATTTTCCTCCTGTATCGTATTTGTTTAAACAATTTTCACTCGAATAACCAGAATTTTACAGTTTTCGAACAAAATTCCCAAAAAGAAAAATGTCAACCAGCGAAACAAACTTTTCCCACTCGACACAAACAGTGTTGCAGTGAAGTTTTATTAAAATTAGTATTGATAGCACTGAGTTGACTGGAAGAACGGCGATTTTTCCGTTAAATGTTCTCTGTTAATAAAATTTTATGTATTAAAATAATTCTTATGTTTAATATAATAATGAAAACCACTGTTAGCACGTGTTATTCAAGCGTGAGTCGACGAGCGGTTTTTCCAATACAAAGTAAAACCTCGCCTTTTTAGAGACTGCACAATGCAACCATGTGTGCTCATTAAACACATCTTGGAAATACTCTACGTATGTCCTACCAGCAGACAGCGCTGTAGTCGCGGAAGTGTAAATACAGAGTCGCTTTGCTTACAAAATGCCAGTTTCGCGCTTTATCGAACAAAATTCGTATGCAAACGAGTCACTAGAATTAAAAATTAATGATATAGTGAATTCAGATTACTTTCTTGGTGATTAATGCAAAGAAAATAAGCGATACCAACTTTTTTTACTATAGTGGGCATCCCAATTGTAAAATCTACTTGTGTGTAAATGTGTTTCGGTGTGGGGCTTTGCGGAAGTGAAATCGTTCCTTTGCGATTTCCAAAAGCAAAATCGCTCAGAAAAACTGCATTAAATCATCCAGCATGCGGATATGATAGGTAATTAGCGTTAAATAAATTTCATTTATTCAGCTTAAGTTTTATTTGTAATGCATGCACGTTTGTAAGTACCTATTACATATGTATGTACGTTTGTATGTACACATGTACGCGTTCCGGTCTCGCATTTCCTTCCTTCTACTCGTTTTGCTCAAATTGAAAACTACGATTTCGTAATTGTCTAAAGAAATTGATTCTTTTTCGCTGCTCGGAAACATTGAACAACTTGTCGTCCATAAACTTGGTGTCCGACCATGGCACCATTTCGAACTCATTAACAGCCCTTCGATTGAAAAGTGGATCTGGTGACTCTACGTCATGTACATTTTTCGGAGTACATTTCTTTGGATGTGGCGCGATGTAATCGCGATTGTATGTGGAAATATTTTGAAACTCTTTAGGTTTATCCAATTGCAGCAGATCAAATCGGAAATCATTCATCGGATACGATTGAAAGTTGAGTTGCTTACGAGCGATTATGCGTAAGTTTGATGCCATTTTTCGTCCAGCCTCCAGACTTTCATGTGTAATAGATTTTGGTGTAGGCATGTTGGCCTCATAGCGCATCCAATGACCAGTGGATTGACATTTGGACATTTTCGATATTTTATAAAACAATAGAGAAATTTTAAATTAAATAACTGACGAAAAACGAAAATAAAACTGTCTGACAAAAGAAGGATGGAACTTTATCATATCTATTATATTGTATTATCGATAGCTGCCTACACCTCTAAATCGTTTTTTTTTTTTATTAATTAATTTGCTACAAAAATAGTCAGTACCCGAATGTAATAGACACCCCGTTTATTGCATTTCGTCGGGTTAGGCAAAGCTTGCTGTACCACTGTCGAAGTTGCATGCTTTCAAGTTCCCTTCTTGTTTCGTCTGCTTAGTAAGAAGCAGCAGTTTATACTCAGATTACGTAAACTGAGTTTAAAATGAACAGCTCGTTGACATTTGATTGGCTAAACTTAGTTTAAACCAGCCACTTTGGGCGTCCTGCATATATGTAGTTAAGTATGAGCATTATAGATACCTCATACTTAAGAGTGGATAGGATGTTCGTGGGTAATTCAATAAGTATGAATATAAGTAGCACAGATTACGGACGGTGAGTGGGATACACTCAGTTTGATCACACTCGGTGCGCTTCTCTGTTCGGGAGCTACTAAAAATGGTAGCACACGTTGCCGAAAAGAAAAATTAAGCAAAAGTGTGACCAACTGCAACAACAAAGATAACTGCGCTCATTATGCTCATTTGTGTGGTTGTGCAAAAGTCAATGCTAGTAAAATATTTAAGCTGTCTGTCTGCCAAATGATTGTTATTTAACATATTTATTGAAAAGTCGAATATAATTAATTTTGCACAACATTTGCGTGATGAATTGATGACTTCGTTGCCGCATAACTGACTGATTGACTGACGGGCAGGCATGGTCAAGGTATCGCAAAGAGAGTGTATGTGCATGGTTTGGATAGTGAAGAGGTAGAGGAGAGTTAAAAAATAGCGGCGCCAAAAAGTAGCGGAGACTATAAGACGCTAACGATTATTCAACACTTAACTGCATTTTTAGTGAAATTTTTGTAGGCTGCAATTAAAAAAAAATAATAATAATTTCCTTCTCTGCTTGAAGTTTTTGCTTAATTTACGTCTACTCACTAACCAATGCCCGTATCCAATTTTGCTTCAATAATTATTTTTAACCTTTTTAATTTTCTGTATTACTCGTATTAAAGTTTTAAATGGTACCTACAGCGTATAAAAAAAAATATACAAAATAAACATGAATGGCTAAATAGACATACAAAAAGACTCAAAGGAAAGTAAAATTACAACAAGTAATTTTTAAGCAAAAAACAAAACCGACTTCAATTCTCATATAAAAATTTAAGATTATCGTTAATCTCTTCATGATCCAATGATCGGATGTAAACCAAGTTTGAATGTGACCACCATTGAGGTAACAACTTTCCTTTAAAAAAAGAATTATAGAGATCGGTTGAAGTGATCCAAAGGTATACGGTAACATACTTACAAAAAAAATATTCCGACGAATTGATAACCTTCTCCTTTTTGTAAAGTCGGTTAAAAATTATGTACAAAAACAAATAATAATTATTATACAGTACAAAACGTCAATTGAAACTTTCGCATATCTGATGCTTGTAGGTACATGCATATGTACTATATATATACATACTAGGGTGGTTCTTAAAAATATCAACATCTAAATTCTGTACTGGTCCACGTATAAAATAAAGACATCCAAGATAATTTAAATGTTTTAAACAAATATTTGGGGCTCGCTACTAGGGTTTGAAAAAATTAAATTTTTTTGAAATCACAAAATTAATAGGTTTCAATTATACGTAAAATTTATCATATAATGAATTTTCGCGATTTAACAAAATATAAATTTTTTAAGCACTGGTAGCGACGCCTAAAAATTTTTTTAAAATTTTGAAATTTTGGAGGATATCTTTTTTCTGTACGTAGAACAAAATAAAATGGTGCTCCATGCAAAATGTATATGTTGATATTTTTAGGGATCACCCTAATACATATCTATGTACGCATTTTTGCTTTCTTATCCAAAATCTGATCTGTAACTCACTGCAAAACTTGCGATCAATGAGATAAATTAAACTAAAGCGTGTAGAAAGATGTTTAGCTCATTATTGTTGGCATATTATATTGTTGCTGTTTGCTGTTGTTGTTGTAGATTGGCAGCTGAGTAGGCAACAGTGCATAAAGTGGAAATGCACAGAAGCGGGAAGTAGTCTTGCGAATCAGGTAGACAGACATACCCACTTAAGTATAGAAAATAATCAAATAGACTCCCTACAACAACTACATAACAAAAATTACTGCTTTCTAACACTTGGTACTACATAGCAGATATTAAAGCGCTGTAATCTACTGCATTGCCTACAACTAACTATTGTTATGATTGTGCCGAGTTGTTTGCAATTAGAGAAGCAGTAGAAGAAGCAGAATAACGAAAAAAAAACATTATTTTGCCCACTGGCAATGAGTGTTGGCGTGGTCGGCAGCTACTAGCCACTGGTCACTGGGCAGCGCTTGCGAATTACCGCAAAATTATTGTTCATGGAATTTTATGCGCAAAGTTGTTAAAGTAGTAAATAATGCGAAGTAAAAATGCAACACAAAAGAACTGTTTGCTCGTCTATACAGGAAATGCTTTTGTTGCGCTTTTCTTGCATAAAATGTTGGTATAATGAAAGCAAAATATTCGCCACAAGTAGGAGTAGTACTTGGAAAAGGTGTTGGCGTTTTTTTTTCATACAAGCGCTTAAATGCTTACTTGAAATATGTTAGTATGTATGTAAGCATATGCGGCTAGTATCGTAGATATGTAAGTACGTACCTATATACTTACTTATGTAAGTACATATCGGATATCGCGTGCCACATATTTGTTGCTTCGGCAGCGTGAAATCTGCAGCACATCATAAATCAGATTTTTTTTTTGCTGGTAAATTGATTTGTCTAACGGTTTAAATCTGCATTTTATGAACAAGTATGGATATGTGATTCTTTGCACTTCAAATATTGAATTAAAATCCGGAATTGTATGACCACAAATAAAAACCTGACCTGACTTTCTTCAAAAGAAGATATAAAGTCCCAGTTTAGAGACCCCGAGCCTGGGTATCATCGAGCTGTCAATCAAAGCTGCTGCGGAGGGGCAATGTTGAAAAAAGAGTGAGAAAGCCCAGTAGCGCCCTGTATGCAAGCAAAATATTGCTCGCATGGGTTGGTATTACCCAGAAATAGTCAGACCAATACTACTCTATGGCGCTTTTGTGTGGTGGAATGCCGCAAAAAAGTCTTCATACCTCGGGCTAATAGAAAAGGTTCAGCGCCTCACTGCACTGTGCATAACGGGAGCTTCGAGGTCTACTTCAACGGCTAGTCACGGAAAACCGTGCTGCTAAATCCACAAGTAAATATATTGGCGGCCATAGACGAATTCAATTGCATGACCTTTGGTTTACAGCTGAATTAGGGCGAGAAGCACAGACAGTACAGCTTATATGGCACCCTCTTTTAGTTGGGAACAAAGGTTTCCGTATATCCCTAAACATTTTTATAGACAGCTCTAAAATAGCAACAGGAGTGAGTGCCGGAATATACTACCGGGAACTGAACGTCAGAGGGCAGTATGGTTACTTGGCCAGTGCAGCATATTTCAAGGTGAGATTTTCGCTATGAGGATAGCGGCTGAGCTAGCCTACACGGAAACAATAATTAACTCCAAAGTAAACTAAACGTAGATAGTCGGGCGGCAATTAAGGCAGTATTTCAGCTAAAAATCGTATTTCGCAGCCATGAAGCCATCGACAGGATGGTCGCAAGCAGAAGGCTTCATAACTATTGGGTGCCCGGAACACGGGAAAATGAAATCAGAGATGAGACTGCCAAGAGCACTACCAGTATAACTCTTGAATAGACAAACTAAATACAAATGTATAACGAAATAGATAACAGTGTGATTAGGCAGTCCAGCGC